TACACACGCACGCACGCACGCACGTGTACTTGCACACGCACGCACGCACGCACGCGCGCACGTGTACGTGCACAGCACGCATGCACGCACATTTACACACGCACGCACGCATGCATGCACGCAGGTGTACGTGCACACGCACGCACGCATGCATGCACGCAGGTGTACGTGCACACGCACGCACGCACGCACGTACGCACGCACGCACGTCTACGTGCACATGCATGCACGCACGCACGTGTACCTGTACACACACGCACCAACGCACTCACGCACACACGTGTAAAATCGCCTAGTGTGTCCGGCCCTAAAACGTTTTGATATTATCGGGCGATTATTTCAGTCGCCCGACTCAATAAGCCGCCCTTACCATATCAGATAGTTACCTCGGGTACATATTATACGACATTATACGACCCTTCGTGCAGTACTGGGCGGCATGAGGTGGCGTCCTCATCAATTTAAGTCCGGGTGTTCGCCCCACTTTAGACCCGTTTCGCACCATCGTATATATCATTGTATTAAAACTTCGTATAAATAGAATAAAATAGCCTACTTTATCTACAATCGTTTTTGGTTTCGACTGGTTGAAATTTGCATGGTATTTCTAGAATGAGTAACAGGTGTAGCGAACTGACCGATAATAATCAGCAGTGAATAATAATAGATTATTATTATGATCTATTATTATTCACTCCTGATAACATCGGATTGTGATCTTCCACGCTTCCCGGACCCACACCATAACCCGAACCGCTCCCAGCTCCATAAATATTTCTTAGATGCACCCACGACTCCAAACCTCGTCAATCCAGCGACTCAAATACATCACATAAATATTAGTTATGAACGATATTTCAAACAATCTACATTCATAAAAATGAAAGCGCGCATGCGCACCTCAAGATATCACAAAATTATTGACAATGCGCATTAAACCGCTCGCTTTGTAGTGATGATGAGTATGAATTCCTAGTATTGCTTATCCTAATATCGCCACAAGTAGCATAAAGTATATAGATAAAACATGGGTCTAAATCTATTTCCACACCTACTTTACACATCTTTTCTCGACCACTGATCTATATCTCTGAGTAAATTAAATCAGTAATTTGCATACCGATGGCAATTAGCCAACGGCTACGAATTTCTATACGCCATAACGCAAGAGCATTCCACACACGGCAGTGTATTGATTTAACAGCCACAAAATTAAACTAAACTGCAACTACATAACATCACACATACCTGAAATCTAACGCCTATGATATCTATTCAGGGGCGGATCCATGGCTGAAGCTAGACAGTATTTTTCCAGATTTTAAGGGCACATCCCCCAAAAAGGGCACACCACCCCCAGTGGGCGCCGTCAGGCGCGGAAGCACATGGCGGGGGTCTAGGGGGCCTCCCCCAGAAAATTTCAAAATTTCAAGGGTACCTGGGCACAAAAATGAGCACCATTTGAGCACACATTTAGTCAAGCAGCAATAGCTAAAAACCATATGGAATTTTATTTCTGCTTCATTTTGTCTGCGCTTTGCATACCAGCAATTAATGCAGAATGATTCAAGCACTTCCCTTCTTTTTCAGATATCAAAGCTAGTTTGTTACCATGTAAAATTTTGATTCCTTCAAGTCCTGTCAATGAATCAGAAGAAAAAGAAAACAAATAAAATATAGCCAAATTCCATCAAATTGTTTTCGTATTTTTTAGCGCAAATTTCGAATGCAACTTCGAAGTGCACCCAATACGGCAAATACGTCTGAATCCGCCCTGCCATTTAACAAAATCTGCCAGATGAGATAGCCACACCTCATATGGATAGTGTTGCTAGGTCGGTCAATCTCACCCAGTTTATACACGTTTTTCACACGTGCATGCATTAAAATGGCTTGATTATTTCATTGTTTCATTGTCCAGCACTTCATTACTTAGCATTGCTTTTTAGAATAATCCAATACGATTACGTCGGTATGACCACGGCCACTGATCTCCTGTATAAGCTGTATATTTCGTGGTGGTTTAATTTTTGCGAATTTCGGCGACCGCGTCCCGACCGCGAAATTAACTACTCGCGAAAATGTCCGTCGTCTGAATCGCGAAAATATTTAACCGCGAAAATAACGGCTTCATAACAACTAGATATGCGCTAGCGTACCACGTTCGATATCCACGCACAACGCGCCACTGCCGCCATCGGCCACCACTACCCAAAAACCGTGTGCGCCCACAACATTTCAATTGGATAATGATAATATATATAAATATTATTATTTTTATTCGCATGAAAATAAACTTGATAAATCATAAAACAACGACAGAATTTATATATTATAGATAGATAGATATAACAGCGTGAGAAAGAAGTCATAAGAATGATCACGTCATGGTCACGTGAAATCGCTCCAGCCTATGGCCGCATTATTCGAGGAGTGATGTCATGGCGTCTGGACTTCACCCTATGGCCATGAGAGCTATCCAGCTCCTAACACGAGACAGTGACCACGCACATATTAACTTCTAAACAGCGCGTCCATAATCTCTTCGTGTAACTATTGTGCACTGAGCATTGGCCTGAGACGGAGCTCCCAGCTGTCGAACAAACGCGATATACTCATGGCGAATCTCGCACACCGCGCACAACCCTCACTCCAGCACCAAAACATCTACCATCATACCTCCACAATTCTACACAACAGAAGGGACGCAAGACGCGTCTAACTGTTCGCACGTCGTTGAAAAGTAGCCGTACCCAGAATTACGCTCACTTCTCATACCATGCTTCCTCCACCATCCCCCTCCTCTCCTACCATGTTACACATCTATGCTACCGTCCCCTCTCTCTCCTACATCCTTACCTACAATCCCACCTCTCTCCTCTCTCCTCCATACTCCTACCATCGCCTCCCTTGCCTCTACCCATATCCACATCCTCTGCAGCCATCTCGTACCTCTCCATACCATCCCTCCTCTGTCCTACACCACCACCTCTCTCTCCTCCCATCCTTTTCCTGCATCCCTTCCTTCTCTCCTACATCCCTCCTCTCTCCTACCATCCCTCCTCTCTCCTCCCATCCTTCCTACCACCCCTCCTCTCTCGTCCCATCCTTCCTACCACCCCTCCTCTCTCCTCCCATCCTTCCTCCACCCCTCTCTCTCCCTACCATCCTCCTACCACGCCTCCTCACTCCTGCCGCATCCTACTTGCATCCTCCCTCCTCACTCCATCCTTAGCCTACCTACCCCCTCCCTCTCTCGCCCATCCTTCCTACCACCGGCTCCCTTCGTGTCCATCCTTCTAACCACCCCTCTCTCATCGTCCAATCCCTTCTACTACCACCTCCTCTCTGCCCAGCCTCTACCCACCCTCCTCTCTCTTCCACATCCTTTCCTACCACCCCTCCTCTTCGTCTGCCATCTCTTAACCTACCAACCTCCTCGCTCTCTCGCCAATCCTTCCTACCAACCCCTGGCCTCCTCTCTCGTCCCATCCATTCCTCACCACTCCCTCCCTCTCCTCCAGCCTCCTACCAACCCGCTCCTCTCCCTACCAATCCCTCCTCTCTCCTTCCCATCTCCTACCATGCCTCCCCAGCCTGCCACCCTCCCTCCTCTGTCCTACAATGCCTCCTGCATCTCCACGCACCCTCATCCTCTCCTCCCATGCCTTACCAACCACCTTCCTCTGACCCTACCACTCCCTCCTCTCCTCCTCGCCAGTCCATCCTACCACCCCGCCTCTCTCGTCCCATCCTCTACCACTATCGGTGGTCACCTCCTCTCTGTCCCATCCTTCCTACCACCCCTCCTCTCTCCTCCCATCCTTCTACCACCCCTCCTCTCTCGTCCCATCCTTCCTAACCACGCCTCCCCTCGCTCCATCCCTCCTACCACCGCGCTGCCTCGCGTCGTCCAGCCTCCCTACATCCGACACACCTCCCTCCGCCCACATCATTCCTCCATTCCTCTCTCTCCTCCCATCCTGTCCTAACCAAGCGCTTCCTCTTTCCTACCACCCCTCCTCCCTCCTCCCATCGCTCCTTCTCCTACGGTCCCTCCTCTGCAGGCCCAGCAGCTCTCGCCAGTCCGCCGCGGCGCCGACATCCTCGGACGCGCGCTTTGCGTGCGGCCTGACGAACTGTGAAGTTGAGGAAGCCATGGGCAGCTGCCGAACATGTCAGACGCACAGTCGCGGCGCGCAGCGCGCGCAGACTGCTTCGCAACACTCACCGAGTTCGTGTCCAGCAGCGGGTCCAGATGACACGTCTGGCAACATGTGCAACCACACACTATTACATGTAACACACACGTGTATATATAATACATAGTAATGACACACTGTCATACATAGATACGTAACAGCAACGTGGTATTACTTACAGTAAATGATACATACGTACGTACGTACAATCACCGTGCCCATACCTGCCTGCCTGCCTACCTCGCCACGTGCCCACCTACGTTCCTACCCACCTACCTAACTACACAATGCACGCATACACCACAGCACACACGCATTCGCACGTGCACATAGCACGCACTGCACAACACAACACACGCATACACACACACACCACACGCCACGCACAGGATCACACACAGAGCGTACAGTGACCTACCATTGATTGTGCTGGGCGACGGCGATTCTGCAACAGCGACGACGATGACAGTTGCGTCTATCACACACCGTACCCCGATCACGAGCAGCGCACGCACGCACGCACGCGCACGAAGGCGCACGTTTGTAACGAGCCCACGCACCACCCACCCACGGTGACCTACCCAATGGAGCGGTTGCTGGGCGACGGCGATCTGCAAATCACAGCGTCGATAACTGTACAGGTTCCTGTCTATCACAGCTGACGCTACCACGACAGCATGCACCACGCACGGCACGCCACGTGGCACGCGACGCACCAGCAACTCGCACCGCTACGATGCACGCACGCACCACACCAGCGATTGTCACACAACACACACACACACACACGTGACCTACCATGATGGTGGTGGGCGGCATCTCTCGCAGCAAGCTGTCGTCTGCAAACAACGGCGACATGAACGGGTTGCGATCAATCTTCAGGTGAATGAACTGCTCGAGCGGTGAGACGACGGGACTCTGCGCCGTGTGACGGTACGTCGTCTGCTGCTGTTCCTTGTCTGCCGCGTCCGGAATCGTCACGTGCAGTGGCGCCTCCACCGTCCCATTAACGCCCGCGTGAACGGTCTGGTTGGGAGCGCCATCATTGCTGTCGCGTGCGGGGGCGCTGCCATGCGTAGGGGTGATGTCGCAAGTGGGGGCGCCACCGTCACTGTCGCGTGCGGAGGCACAGCCGTGCGTGGGGGCGCCACCGTGCGTCGGAATGATGCCGTTGAGCTTCAGACTGCGCCGGCGCAGCCTCCCTGCCGACGACGGCCGCTGAAGCCCCGGCACCGCGACCTCCTCCTCCTCCTTCTTCTCCGCTCCCTCATCCTCGTCCTCCTCCATCGTCTCGTCGAGATCGTCGAGACCGAACGTGACCGCGGGGGCGCCACAATCCCCGTCGTCGTCGTCGTCGTCGTCGTCGTCTCGTTCGGAGATGCTCGTGCAGCTCATGCGGCGCACTTTCGGCGTCGGTGCCGCGGCGGCAGGGGGCGTCGCGATCTCGCTGATCGTGAATCTCCGCCGCATCTCGGAGCGCAGGTCGTACAGCGTCGTATCCTCCTCCCCGTCGTCGTCGTCGTCGGCGGCGGTGGTGGCGCCGCTGACCCCGCCGCCGCCGCGCAGCCCGCGCGCGTACTCCGTGAAGTCGACCGTGCTGCGCGAGCGCTGGACCGCATCAGTGGGCGCCGGCGGAGGCGCCGCGGTGGTCCAGCGGTTGAAGCTGCCGAGGAAGGAGAGGATGTCTTCGCGGATGTTGCTGGTGGAGGAGCTTCGCTGGAGGGCCGGCTCGGGGGGAAGCTCGGGACACTCCTGCGGTGAGAGCCCTGCGTACGCTGTGTGCGGGGGAGAGACGGAGAGAGAGAGATGCTGTAGGTACACACACGGTTACGTGAACGCATAGTTACTAGCTTTAGTTACAAAGGCACGTTAATTTGAAAATAATTCACAATAAAACCTTTAATGTATAATTAGTAATAAGCTTTTGGAAAATAATTTAATAATTTGTTTTAAAACGTTCATTTGAATCCTGATATTAGATCAATTGATATTTGTAAGACATGCAGTACTGAATTTTCACAACAAACGATGGTGCATTCTATATGTACATGTCTTGCACTCTTCACCCACAAATCCTCTTACATCAGCATCATCGTAGCAGCATCACCTGCAAGACACCTGGCAACATTACCTGTGGAATACCTGGCAACATTACCTGTGGAACACTTAGCAGCATTACCTGTGAAACACCTGGCAACATTACCTGTGGAAGACCTGGCAACATTACCTGTGGAAGACCTGGCAACATGACCTGTGGAAGACCTGGCAACATTACCTGTGGAAGACCTGGCAACATTACCTGTGGAACACCTAGCAATATTACCTGTGGAACAACTGGCAACATTACATGTGGAACACCTAGCAGCATTACCGGTGGAAAACACGGGGAACATTACCTGTGGAACACCTGGCAACATTACCTGTGGAACACTTAGCAGCATTACCTGTGGAACACCTGGCAACATTACCTGTGGAAGACCTAGCAACATTACCTGTGGAAGACCTGGCAACATTACCTGTGGAACACCTGGCAACATTACGTGTAAGACACCTGACAGCGTTATCTGTGGAATACCTGAAAGCGTTACCTGCAGAACACCTAGCAGCATTACCTGCGAGACACCTGGCTAGGATGCCGAGGGGCAGCAGTGGGTCCAGCATGCTGAGCAGGCGGGAGGGCGACGGCGTGTAGAGGGCGACAAATGGCGTGTAGATCGTGAGCAGTCCGTCCGGGACCCTGACACCGTTCGTGATCGCGCGAAGCGTGAGCGCAGTGACCAGGTTACCGCCCGCCGAGTCACCGACAACACAGATTCGCTCACCTGTCGATCCTGCAACACACACGGGGACGGGGCTTCGCTGATCGATCGATTGATAGATTGGTTGATAGATTAACTGATTGGTTTGATTCATTCATTAATCGAATAGTTGTTTTGGCGGTCGCTTGGTTTAATGAGTGATTAATCGATGGATTCATTGATTGTTATTTGACTATTGTTTGGTTGATTGATTGATTCACTTGTTTCTGCAGCAATGAGTCTTCTGCCGGGGTTTCTTAGCAATGACAAAACATGTAATAGTGAGGAGACTACATAATCAGCTAACCTCAAACACATTTATGGCAATAACAAACACAAAATATAAAATATTGACATACTGCACAGAGAGGTTCACTGTTGAAATGACCACTGGGGAAATAACAAAAACGTGATAGCATCCTTACGTTACCTGCGATGCTTTGGATCATGGTTGAGCCATTAGGCTTATTAGTGGGTGGTTATTGTTGTCTAGGAGACACATACAGTAGGTGGTGGTTTTTAACATGTACCCAATGGGTGACAATATTTTAACACGTAACCAGTAGGTGAGCTTTTTAACACGTACCCAGTAGGTGACAGTTTTTTAACACGTACCCAGTAGGTGGCAGTTTTTTAACACGTACCCAGTAGGTGGCAGTTTTTCAAAGCCCAACAGTAAATGAAGAAGATCTCCTCTAAAGCTCTGGGGAACGGTGATTCGGGCGCGAGCGAATAGTCGATGGAGAGTATCGGAACCTGTAGATCCTTCGTCCACATGCGCAGATAGATCTACAACACGTAAATAAATATAATATTAATTACACATTGATTGTGCATAATGCATCAACTCCTCGAATTGTAAGTGATCTGGTTGCATGTGTCACGCATGAGCTATGTGAAATATGTCGTATGTGGAACATGTAATCGTGATAGCTACGATTGTCCTATTCCACTGTCATGATCAATAAGTAGCTTTAGCCAATCATCGTTGTGACAGGACATTCTAACAAGTGCCGCAGAGCGACAGGGCTCATCTGGTGTCTGGTGTTCTGCTGATAAATTCATTTGTGCATAGCAAGACGTCCTATACATACGTTCATTTTTAACCCAAAAAAAACAAACACTTCAAACTAGTGTAATAAAATTCCGATAGATGGCGGGCCGCTATCAAAGGCATCGTTGCATCGGTCAGCAAAAGCATTGCAGCAATGGCAGCTGTCAGTGTGACGACGAATTGCAAAAAGCAGGAGCGAATAATTACCATATTATTACTATACATAACGTGCGTTCTATGATGTCAGGTAATAAGGTATATTAAACCCTTGCGAGGCACATCTGGCTCGTTAAAAATAGCTCAATGGTTGATACAACCAGAGGCAGAGCAGCTCGTGCAAGATTACAATTTACAGCAATATGATAGCAAATATCTCTAAACTAATTTCAGTACAAGGTAGGCCAGTGATTAGTGGACCGAATAAGCTCAAGAACGTACACACTTGCATCTATATTGGTGCCAAAATTTGATGAGAAAATTAAGTCTGGGAAATCCGCAGCCTCACTCCTGGGTAATTATTTGAGTGCTAGTGACTGTATTCCAACTATTCATAATGTACACTACATGTCATCATCTCCTAAGTAAGCGTTGTTCAAGTAAGAGTTATGTGTGGAATTTCATTGTAAAATGGGAGCTTTCCACACTCACAGGTACTCGCCAACGCAGTTGACAGAAACAAATCCATGTTTAACCGTCCTCTTGAGGGTCAAAAGGTTATCCGACACTTACTCTTCGCATGCCAGCAGAAAGTACATTTCATGGTCCTTTCAATCGGACTTTTTCAATCGCTCCGTCAGACCATGTCCTCAAAAAATGTCTAAAATCTGCCCTGTGCCCCATTGACCTTTGACCTGTGACCTCCAATTTCAGCACAGTGATGGTTTTTCCTACCATGATGCTATACACCGACTATCACGAGCCTAGGTCGAGCCGTTTAGATTTGTGCCGCAATTCTGCATTTCCTCCCTATACCTTAAGTTAAGGATGGAATGTTCCCTTCTTTTACACCTCTTGTCCTTTGACCTTTGACCCCCAGCTTCGACATCCCAACTCGTTTTTGGATTACCCCCCCACGTCCCGACTTTCGAATCTGTACGTCGAGCCGTTTAGATTTGTGCCCAACTGTTGACGGACGCATGCACGGACGGACAGACGGACGCACACTCATGCGATTCTACAAGCTGCATCTGACTATGTCAGATGAGCTAAAAACAATGCTTGGCAACAAAGTGCCACAAATTTAGCCCTTTTTGGCATCCACGTGCAAAAATCACACGCGAATTGGTTTTGCTTGATCGACCTAACAAGGATATCCAAGGGGAACGTGATCATCTCATTCAAACAAATTGGGTTTCGAGCATGTGACATTTCATTCCCGCCGTGACGAGCGCACCTCGTGTGACTTGGACGACTGGGCGACGAAGCCGCCGCCATGACAGTGTATGATGAGACAGCGCGAACGCTCGGTCGTGTAGAGGGGCTGCGGAGCATCCACGCCGGGCAGCGACGCGTCAAACTACAATACAAAGTTAAACCGTACAAATTACAGACAACCTATATATGTGTGTGTGTGCATGCGTGCGTGTGTGTACATGTACGCGTGTGTATGCATGCATGTGTGTGCGTGTGATTACACGCGTGCATGCGTGCCCGTGTGCAATAACCAACATGCTGAACAATCAAAAAGCAAACACAACTATCTAAAGTTTCAAATCGATATCATCGCATGCTACCTTCGATTCAGAAGAAACATTTTGCTCGAGTGTTCATTCTGTCGTGACGCGTGTACACATATAACAACTGATACAGTTCAACCCTTCTACAACCTATGCTCCATTTCTGAGTTTCCTGGGTGCATGCAAATTCGTCTGCGCACACTGTATATGCACCCCTCTTAAAGAATTTGGACATCGTTATCAACAAATGAACGAATACTGCTAGGGTGCATAGAGCATGTTTATAATTGGAGATCTTATCCATGCAAGATGCATGTTGCACATCTAACCCTAACCCTAACACCTGTCTCAGGTGCCTGTGGTATTTTTAGAGAGATATTCACACACGTTTATTTCCGTGTTTACATAGCTTTAGCATACATTAATACATACGCATTAGGAACTTTTTAAATTATTACTAAATTAATTTACATGTTATTAGGTAGAATATAACCATAATAATAAGCTCAATAATAAATGGTATAATAATAATAATAATAATAATAATAATAATAATAATAATAATAATAATAATAATATTATTAATAATAATAATATAGTAGATTAATCATAATTGTCTACACGCGTGTATTTCACGGCTTCAGTCTTACTATCGTGGTTATTATTGGTGGTTTACAGCCACCTATCGACACGTGTTGTAGCTCATACCTGACCCTTCCTGGGTATGTAGGACAGCAGACGCACGTGCACGGGCGCGGGTCCCTTGTGTGCGGTCGGTGGGGGGACGTCGAAGCTGCCGCAGCCGTCACGGCGAGGAAGCGTGAAGCCATGCGGCTCAATGCTGAACAGCCGATTTACGCTCGCCTGAGGAGTCATCCACTGAGGCAGTTGCTGCGCGAATAATGAATAACAACGATGGAATGAAGCACACACACGCACGCACGCACGCACGCACGCACGCACGCACACACACACACACACACACGAGCGCGCGCACAGACACACACACACATTATGCACCACAACCACCACACACAGGCACACACACACACACCACACAACGAGCGGGCGCGCAAAAATCAAGAGTATACGCAACGCACCGCACACGGACGCAAGCAGCGCATACAGCACACACGCACACGCACACACATACACACACAACACACACAAGGACACTCAACACGCACGCATACAGCACGGATTTCATCCACTGAGGCAGTTGGCTGGCGGGAATGATGAAATAACCCAATGGAAATGAAGCACACATATCGCAGCACGGCACGTACGCACGGCCACACAATCGGCTTGCACCCACACGGATTCATCACATGTCGGCAGTGCTGGCGGAATGATGAATAACACCCGATGGAATAAAGTCAGCAGGCGCGCACGACCACAACACACGCGCAAGCCACACGCGCACGCCAACACACACACAAGCATCACGCAAACACTACAATGCGCACGCACGCACGTAGACGCATACACACAGACACACACACAAACACGCACGCATACGACATATTTATATATATACTATAATATCCTGATATATATCATAATTGCCTGCTCGAAACACACTGGAATATATAGCAAGAATAAAGCATATATCTTACATGAAACACAGTATCCGTCTCCGTATGTTCGCAGAATGCTTGCAGAATGTATGCGCGATTTTTGCGTAACGTTCAAATTAAAACAGAAAACACGCAGAACATATATACTAGTAATAGTAATCCACATACTCAGCTAACTCCGGGGTGACCGACGTGGTGATAGTACGCGCACGTGTATAAGCCAATGCGAGAAATGAGTAGGCTAATTAACTCTAGCCTGTATAAGCCCTCTGATTATCCACATTTTTTAATTAATATAAAAATCAATACATTATTTAAGTATTATTAAATTATAATCAGATCTTGGATCTATTGTAAACTTTACTGTGTACATATAGTATGAGATTACACCTAGTACGTGTCATCGTACTATACTGTATCAGTAAGCGTTACTTAAACTAAACTAGTGGATTTCATCATTGCCTGCTGTGTTGTTACTCGTAATTATTGTCGTCGGTCGTCGTCATCGTCGTCGTCGTCGTTCGTTCGTCCGTTGTTGTTGTTTTTGTTCTTGTTGTCGTCGGTCGTCAACATGTCGTCATGCGTCATCGTTTCGTCATTGTCACCGTGTTATGTTGCCGTCCTAATCATTTGGTGTTGTTGCTGCTGCTGGCTGCTGCTGTCGCTTGTTTGATTGTTGTTCGTTGTTGTTGCTTTTGTTGTTGTTGTTATTTCGTTAGCTTTTTCTTATTATACGAGGTATAGTATGTTAGTCATTGTTATTTTTACGCTGGCACATGGCTCAGGCAGCATACCTTTCTTTATTCTCATGTGTGGCTTCTTCTGCCTCTTCTTTACGAAGAGATCTTGCATGTATAGCAATCAGATTTATGTGGAGTATGTTTATTATAAGATTTGTTGTATGTTATGCTGTGGTGCGTGCGTATTTTGTGTTCATTTATTGCGTACGATGATGTAGCGTGTAATGTATGTGTACATGTGTACGTGTAATGTATATATGTGTACATGTGTACGTGTATGTGTAATATCGTTTACTTCTTGTGTACGTGTATATATCTGTGATGTATGGACGGACCGTTAGTAGGTTTGTAATGGGAGGGGATACTGCGTGTACCAGGTGTACGTGGCGTGTAACAGCGTCACGCGTGCGTGCACGTGCGTGTACGTGCGCGGTACACGGAGATACACCGACGTACAACGCGGTACACGCACGGTACACGGGCCATGGTTTTCATACAGGAGGACTGAACATTTTTTCAAGGACTTTTGCAAAGAATATCTATCCGAATTCACGGACATTTTTATCGAATTATACACAGGAACAAACATACGCGTGATTAATTTAAATAATAACCCCATTATTAATCAGTGTCACCTCTAAACTTACAGCCCCGTCAAACCATAGCGTTAATGCTGAAAGCCTATGAGTTCCGTGTAAAAAATACTTTTTATACGCCACGCAAACGCCAACCAACATCAACAATTTTTGTCAATTCTAGGCCTATTCAACCTATGGGTTGCGTGTGAGCGTTGCTGGTGGGTTGCGTGTGGGATATGACGTATTGGGGTGCGTGTGAGTTGCGCAACGTTGAACTTATGATCCCCAATATCTGCGATCACCTGCCGTACGGTTGCGTGCGAGTTGCGTGTGCAGTTGCGTTCAAACCTTACCAAGTTGCGTTGGACCTGCGTGCCTAGTTGCGTGTGAGTTTGCGTCAAAACTTACAAGTTTGCGTTGAACGCTGCGTGCTAGTTGCGTGCTAAATGCGAATATCGGCTCTACGTGGTAAAAACCTGTAATATAAACCTGTAATATACGGTAAAACTGCCATGTCGGAGTACTCTTGTACCGAGGCCAGCGTGCCGCAAAGTGACTCCAGCTTCCAGGCCAGGGTCCAGGGGAACCTGTACTTGGTGTTTTGCTGTGATGCGAGGTACAACCTCATCGGGGGCATCCTCAGAGTAGCATGCTCATCGTACATTCTGGCGGGCATCTCATAAAGTTCTTGAATGCACCTGGTCTCGTTCGCGGGCTCACCAGAACTGGTGCGTTAGAGGACATAAGTCAAGGCTGGCCTGCTATCTATGGTCTAACCCGCCACTGTATGTGTTTAAGTGTGCCATACATTGACCAGATTAAATTGATTCAATAAGCGGCAAGAGGTACTCATGTTGTCACCTCGGAGGTCCACAGACAAACTGACACCGATCTAGAAAAAGGCAACTAGTTTAATACCATTGATACTCACACGCATGTAGTACGCAAACTAACAGATTCACACGCAACTAATAGTGTGGGGATACGCTGGAATACGCACATAGGTTGGGGTAGCTACACGCACATACCACGCACAACACTATGTCGCAACTAGATCGCAACACACGATCGCAACAGATCACAATCAATTCGCAACATTGTACGTGCTCAAACCAAAAACCGGCGCAGATACCTCAAATTTAGACCTGCGCGATCACCTGCATGCTAAACTTATGATTTGCGTACGCTGTTGCGATGCGGTGTTGCCGATCGTGTTGGGCGATCGTGTTCGCCGACGTAGCGTACCTGTTGGCGTCCCTGTTGCTATAATTTGATCCGGAGCATCGCCAGAGAATTATTGAACAGTTCAAATTTCTGATTACACTGCGTGTGATCTGCCGATCACGCTGCGTGTTGTTGCGTACTTACAAACCTATAAAACCTATTAGTTGCGCGTGTGAGTTGCTTCGGAACTTATGCCACTATTTTTTATCGCACCATACGCTTCAACTGGTATCGACTTATGGTGTGACGGGCACCTTTACTGGATCCCATTAATAAACCCTTCTAAAACTGTTCATCGATAGCAACACCATACCTTAATTTAGCAGACTACTGTAATTTTGTGATCCATCAATTAACTGTCTATCGTGTCTATACTTTTTTAAAGCTTATTAACGCATATTTTTATTGAGTTGCACATTATTGATTGGTACAAAATTTCTTTTTATTCAGCGCAAGGATTCTTTCCAAAAATGCAAGGACTTTTCAAGCACAAAATCAACATTTACTAAATTCCCGCGGGTAACAACGACCGTACGCAAAGTACACGCACGTACACGCGGATACACGCGCGTACACGCAGGGTACACGCACTACACGCACGTAAACGCGGCGTAACGCACGGTACACGCAGATACACGCACGTACCGCAGATGACACGCACGTCACACGCGCGTTACACGCACGTGCACGCACGCTGCACGGCGGTTACACGTGACACGCGGTACGCGCAGCGTACACGCAGATAGCACGCACGTACACGCGGGTACACGCTACTACACGCACGTACACGCGGTGCACGCACTGTACAGCGCGGGTACACGCACGTACCACACGCGCGTAAACGCACAGTACACGCAAGTACACGCACGTAACACGGCGATACACGCACGTACACGCACGTACCGCGGACACGCAGCGTACACGCAGATACTGCACGTACACGCCGGGTACACGTCAGTACACGCGGGGTAGCACGCACGTGCATGCGGAGCAGATCCACGTACACCGCACGTACACGCGGGTACACGCACGTAGCACGCGGGTACACGCACTTAGCTGTGGAAACGCCGCCGATTGCTTTCCTAGCAACTACGCAGCTACGCGGCCTTCCCGTCATGCCTCTTGCGCATGTGCAGTAGCGTATACGGTTTGATGTGTGCGATAGACGAGCCTCGGTAGACGAGGCCTCGGCCAATTGCTCGATAGACGAGCCTCGCAAGTACTTTGCTCCATTCATGATTCAATTACGCCTATTCAGTATTCGTGGCTTTTGATTGTCAATTGTCAATTCGTCAAAGTCGTGCATAGCGGCGATTCTATTTGACAATTTCGTTCTATTAATTGCTCAACTGAACGTTTGACATGATTAAACGACTGTTCAATTGAACAATCAATCGATCAATTAAACGTTTGAATGATTAAATTGACTGTTCAATTGAACAATCAATCGATCAATTAAACGTTTGAATTTTGACACATATCCGCTCCCATAGGTTTGACTGTACACTGTTATGCCTCGTGTAGTCGCCAGTCGGCGCCCTGCGTGATCGCACACGGTCACACTCTCGCGCGTGATCCGCGAACCTTGAGACTCGTGTCGTGGTCGGGTGACCCCTGTCTAATGACGTCACGCGTCTTCCGTCGGGAGTCAGGCCACAGCACCTCACGTGATAGTCAGGTGATGCCGGCAGGTCAACAGTGTAAACATAGTGAACTGTTCGATGCCCTCTCACGACACAGATAAGAGTGTCGTCTGTGATACGATTAACCTAGCTGCACGCACGCGTCTCCAAGTTATCACGTTTCCACTACACGCGTAGACACGCCGCTAATAAGCTTCCACCTGTATGTCCGTGGGTTAAACTATGCAGGTCGTGTGTGAGTATGGTACCGACAGCCAGCCAGCGCTGTACGCAGTAACGCACACATGCACGTACACACACGCACGCACGCAAGAACGCGCACACACAGGCCCACTCATGCACATACACCACACATGGTGTCACCTATTATTGGTTGTCACAGCTAATTATTATTATCACCTATTAATTAATTATTAATCATTAATCATTAATACTCATTAATTTTTAATAGCACCTATTATTAGCTGTCCACATATGCAACACATTGTGTCGCATATGATAGCAGTAGTTGGCAGGGTTATGCGCACGACACATGGTGACACATAGTATTAGTTGTGACATCATTGTAGACACACAACAAATAGTGTCATATAGTATTAGTTGTCACAGCTATGTACATACACAACACACGGTGTCACACAGTATCAGGAGGGAATAATAATAGATTATAATAATAGATATAGATAATAGATAATAGATAATAGATTATACTAATAGATCTATTATTATTCACTCCTGATAATATAATATATACTATAACACAGTGACATCCATAACACATTATATCACATGGTCTCATGTATGTATTTTTCTCGTGTATGATTTGTCTGTACATATTGTAGTTACAAACTCACAATCATGCGCATTGGCTGAAGATATCATATATCCTGTCTACAAAATTGATATGCCATGCACCTAGTATTATCTAACTAAATATCTATACTATCAAGATATTTAGGAGACAACATACATCTAACAGTTTGTCATTGTTTGACCTTTGATACATCAACTTCACATTAATTGTGCAATGTTTTTAATATTTAAAGATATTAACCTAGCCAACGTACTACACATACCACATAACAGGTAATCTTGTAAGTTAACATCCTCACGCAAATATGTTATTCACACACGTCAAGTGAACAACTGACCGTTTGCTGTCGAAGGTTCGATGTACCGTTATTACTGTTATTTTTACATTGTCAGCAGCACGTCATGAATATAGATTCCGATATGAAATGTGTTTACATTACACTTTTTACAGTGATTTCAAGCGTGGTCACGAAAAAAAATTATTTGCTAGACAGTAAGACCTTGACCCTAGTTAGTTTTAGCTGTTAGTGTCAGCTTTAGTGTCACTCACTTTTAGTACTTTCATACACCGTACAAACTGCAAAATTTTATCCCACATCAAACTAGTCGGGGCCAGTCGCAGCGCCAGCCGCGTACTAAATCGCAGCATGCAGACACAAAATGTTGAATCGCGCTACGTTAGCACGGGTTGACTGTGCATGCTCAGTTTAGCTTGTTACGTCACTCAGCAGACAGTTACTGTACTTTTATGTGACCCAAACAAGGCTATGCGCATGCGTATTGCGAAAGTTAACCCGGGCCTGGCACCGGATTGCATACACACCGTTTAACGCGGGCTAACTTAGCACGTTTCTAAGCAGGTCTGGCCCACCTCCATTTGCGGGGCTATTAACTTAGTCCGGACTATAGCGCGTACTTGCGCGGAGATAGCGTGTACACACTGCATAAATTTAGCGCCCGTCAGGCCCGGACTATTTTGATGTGGGATCAAATTTGCAGTCTAAATTTATCAGACTTTCGAGCTGCGCTGCAGCGTGTAGAGTGTATCGATACATGACAGCAGTGCAGCTGAAACAACAGTCGTTTCAGTTTCCTCATTCATAATACAATCTGCCAATCAGAAGGACCAGTAGGATGATCGACTTATCTGTACATATAATCAGAATTCCCTATTATCTACTTCTGATATAATCAAGAGTACATGAATAGGAATAAAATAATAAATCTATCCATGTACTCATTCATGTCATCGCCATTCATTTGCTCCTGATATGGTGACACCTTACAATATATCACTAGCTAATAACACCTATAAGGTATAATATAGTAATAATAAGGTATAATAATATAAGGTACCTAAAAAACGCCAATAATGCCATATTAAACTGCAACTTTGGTAAACAAAAATTGTATCCTCCTAGTTCAGGAGTGGGCAAACTACGGCCCGCGGGCCGCATGCGGCCCTCTACGGGGTTCTGTGCGGCCCGCGGAAGCCTACAGCAAATAAAAAAATAAAAATTGCACACGCACACGGACGCAAGCACGCATACACACACACGCACACGCACACACATACACACACAACACACACAAGCACACGCATACACGCACGCATACACACGGATTCATCCACTGAGGCAGTTGCTGCGGGAATGATGAATAACACCAATGGAATGAAGCACACATACGCACGCACGCACGTACGCACGCACACACAATCGCTTGCACCCACACGGATTCATCCACTGCTCGGCAGTTGCTGCGGGAATGATGAATAACACCGATGGAATAAAGCACACGCGCGCACGCACGCACACACACGCGCACGCACACACGCACGCACAGACACACACACAAGCATGCACGCACACACACACGCACGCACGTAGACGCATACACACAGACACACACACAAACACGCACGCATACACATATATTTATATATATATATATATATCCTGATATATATCATAATTGCCTCTCCAAAAACACACATGGAATATATAGCAAGAAATAAAGCATATATGCTTACATGAAACACATCCGTCTCCGGTATGTTCCAGAATGCCTTGCAGAACTGTATGCTCGCGTTTTTCGTAACGTTCACAATCTAAAACAGAAAACACGCAAACATATATACTCAGTAATAGTAATCACATACTCAGTAACTCAGTGACCAACGTGGTAACAGTACACGCACGTGTATAACCAATGCCGAGAAATGAGTAGCTAATTAACTCTAGCTGTATAGCCTCGATTAATCCACATTTTTAATTAATATAAAATACAATAATTATTAAGTATTATTAATTATAATCAGATATTGATCTGATTGTAAACTTACATGTGGTACATATAGTATGAGATTACACTAGTACATGTAATCGTACTAAATACTGTATCAGTAGCGTTTAATACTAACTAAATAGTGGCTTTCATCATTGCTGCTGCTGTTGTTACTGTAATTATTGTCGTCGTCGTCGTCATCGTCGTCGTCGTCGTCGTCGTCGTTGTTGTTGTTTTTGTTCTTGTTGTCGTCGTCGTCGCATCGTCGTCATCGTCATCGTCGTCATTGTCACCGTCGTTATCGTTGCCGTCCTAATCATTGTTGTTGTTGCTGCTGCTGCTGCTGCTGTCGTTGTTGTTGTTGTCGTTGTTGTTGCTTTTGTTGTTGTTGTTATCTTCGTTAGTTCGTTTTCTTATTATAACGACGTATAGTATGTTATCATTGTTATTATTTACGCTGCATATCTCAGGCAGCATCCCTTTCTTTATTCTCATGTGTGGCTTCTTCTGCATCTTCTTTACACGAGATCTTGCATGTATAGCATCAGATTATGTGGAGTATGTTTATTATAAGTTGTTGTATGTTATGTGTGTGCGTGCGTATTTTGTGTTCATTTATATGCGTACATGTGTACGTGTATGTATGTGTACATGTGTACGTGTATGTATATATGTGTACATGTGTACGTGTATGTGTATATATGTGTACATATGTACGTGTATGTATATATGTGTACGTGTATGTATATATGTTTACTTGTGTACGTGTATATATATGTGTGTATGGACGCCGTTAGTAGGTTTGTATGGGAGGGGATACGTGCGTGTACCAGCGTGTACGTGCGTGTAACCGCGTGCACGTGCGTGCACGTGCGTGTACGTGCGCGGGTACACGGAGATACACGCACGTACACGCGGGTACACGCACGTACACGCACATGGTTCATACAGGAGGACTGAACATTTTTTCAAGGACTTTTCAAAGACATATTATCGGAAATTCAAGGACATTTTATCGGAATTCATACACAGAACAAAACATACCGTGATTAATTTAATAATAACCCCATTATTAATCACTGTCACCTCTAAAACTTAAAGCCCCGTCACACCATAGCGTATGCTGAAACCTATGAGTTGCGTGTAAAAAATATTTTTATACGCACCAAACGCAACCCAAATCAACAATTTTGTCAATTCCTAAAGGCCCCGTCACACTATAGCGTATGCTGAAACCTATGAGTTGCGTGTAAAAAATATTTTTATACGCACCAAACGCAACCCAAATCAACAATTTTGTCAATTTCTAGCTGAGAGAGAGAGAGAGTGGAAGAGCGAAAGAGAGGGGGAGGGTCGGATTCATGGTATAGTCGGAGGGCACTAGCATTGGGAGAATCGCGAGCAAAGCATTTGTGTTTAAATAGTAATTAGGGAAGCCATGAACATGCGTCAGTATACACACGATGCTTGATTAGCATACGTATATATGCATTTACATATTAATGGAAAATATAGCCACGCTTGCCTTCAGTAAACAAAGTACAGAAATATTAATGCCAGCAGATTTCCACAATACATGGTGATTTACTAGCAGAACTTACTGTATTGCTAACTGCGGTGCACGCACAGAACACTGTACATTTTCCTAATGTTTTAAAAATAGATAAAGTTCTGCGATGTTAGCATTAGTCGTAAGTCTCGTAACTGATAAATTTATTTAAAAAATCACATTTATTACCATGATCATCAAAACGAAGACGAACTTTCCCCATAGCAAACTCTCGTAATGATTACACGGACATACACACACGGGATGATTGAAACCATTCTGTAGCGGTCATTTACCAAACGTCTGTGTAATATCATCAGTCTAGATCTACTGAGGCCTATACGTATCCTGGCTGCCTTTGGTTTTCGCTTTACCCTGTGGGCTGCCTAGGCTACACAATGTTCAGGTACATAAGGAGGTTAAGTCATATATTAGCTTCTATTTACAGGGTTTCTTCTGAGGGAAAATTAGACAAAGGAGGTAATGGCCAGTTTGGGGAAAAATGCGCATGATGGATTCAAATACAGGATGTATTGATATACTTATAGGTATATAGATACAGGATATACTTATCAGTAAATACAGGAACATTTTCACAACGGCGATGTTAAATTTGACAACGGCGGTGCGCCACTGTGCCTCTTATGTATGAGAAACCCTGCAGGGCTCGAATTAAGCGACGAGAAGGGCAAGGCAATTTTTTAGGGCATGTGAGAAATCGCCTTGAATTTTCTCTAAAATGGAAGGTCACAGAGGCAATTTTAAAAGGCACCAAGGCAACTCTCAAAATTTGAGAAGGGCACAAAGGCACTTTTGTAAAATAAAAGAAAACTCATAACAAATTATTCCAGGGGTGGGCAAACTACGGCCCGCGGGCCGCATGCGGCCCTCTACGGGGTTCTGTGCGGCCCGCGGAAGCCTACAGCAAATAAAAAAATAAAAATAAAAAAATAATTTTTTTTTCAATTAATAGATTTTTGTGAAAGTCAACATGTTTGTGCTTGAACCGAGGCTGACTTTTTCAGTGTCATACAGATTACTGTTCTATTGTCTGGTTCGCTCTGCAACGCCATTTCAGCTAATTATGGTCCAGAAATGGCGCCCTTGTGGCAAAACGCACGTATTATCTTAGAGCGCACCGCCTGATTTTAAAAGGTGCGGCCCTTCGACTTTTCATGGCCCACTGATGCGGCCCTCGCTTTGAAAAGTTTGCCCACCCCTGTCCTAGTTGTAGATTTAGGCTAATATAGCCTTTGGTCTCCTACTCGCAATGTGATTTTTATCCTCCCTTTGCCACGTGTTATCAGGACCTTACATAGCCTCTAACGTGCAATCTCTGGTGGCAGTCCTGCACAATAGTAGCTCATTAGTAACCCGTTCTTCATTAGTGTCTCACTCGTTAGTTACTAACTGCTACAAGTGTCGCTGACCTGTCTCCTTCCTATTTCCTTCCAGTGACAGTGACGCCTAGGGCTTACCCTTGGTCTTAACAAAAGAAGCTATTTATCTTCGTACGATGGCGCTATACTACCGCTGGTACGTGGCACTAGTGTCGCGTTGAATAAATTCAAGTCGGTTATAAAGCGAACAGTATGATTGTCACAGGGAAAACGTTGTTTTATTTCGCACAGCACTCTGTCGTCATAACCGGCCACGTTCTCTCTCCGCATCCCCTTTTATACCCGTGGGCGTGCCCTTCTCGTTGGGCGCGTCCTTTCTCGCCTCGCCAGCCGCTTCGGCCATCTCCCCTATTGGTTCGGCGTCGGACATTAGTATGACGAGTGACCACCTGTTCTATCTTACGTCAGTTTGGACTGTGTCCTTTGGTCCTTGGCTGGCTGCCAAACTGTCCCTGGTAACTTTTATTCTGCATGCGTTGCTTCGTAACAGTGGCTAATTATTTTAGCCCACTCTACTGCATGCTCACTACAATCTAACACCTTCTGTGCCCTCTAAACTAATCGCCCATCTGCCGTTGGCATAATTACCAATTTTCTAAGAGTTGCGATGTTAATTATTCCGTGTGCTGTTGGACGCTTCTATACTCGTCGTCCCTCTAACTAATACTCGTGCCACTATCGCCTATATGCTCCCTATTCCTACATTTCAATATTAATTTCCGAGAGGCTACACTAGAGACGGCGGTGACAACTACACAATCGCAATATATACGCGTAGAAATCTTACACGGATTCTGTGCCCAAACGAGACAAAAAATGCGGTTTTTGTTTTAGAAAAACCATGGTCGTTTGTGATTCCTTATTTGGAGGTGGGACAGACAGAAGATCCCGTTTTCTACTGAAACACGCAACGTTGCTCAGCCGATATTAGTAAGGTTAGGCTATCTTCTTCGCCATTACATTCACCCACGAAGACGATTTGCTACATGGATGCGAGGTTCTAGCACTCACTCACCTGTTGTCCTTTCATTTCAGGGTTGAGCAGGTATTTGCCGCTGTGAAGCAGTGACGTGGTCGCTCGCTGCATCATGTTTCCGTTAGCGTGTTTGTAGAAGCCCTCGCTGAACGATGCCATGGCAACGGACACAACTTGCAGAGGCTTAGACAGGGAGCCACAGTACTGAAACACGCAGACCGGGGACTTGTTGTCAAAAACATCGTGAAGTAGTTACAACGACATGAGTCAAAGAGGTCAGAGCTTTTGAAGTGAAATCTGGTGCAAAATGTTACTGCATTTTAGACTCATCATAGTGTTTTTACATATTTCTAAAAAATCCTGAGTCTGATATTAGAAGATCGATCAGGTAACAAATAGGGTGGAGGGGAAATGGCAGGCTAGATGGCAAAATATCTAAGAACTATATATACGTGATAATGCATAATACATCAAAATATACGTTTTAGAGATACTGAAAACTCCAGAGATATTAATAATACCCCGCATGATTTAAATTGCAACTAAAACGTGTGGAAATCATAGGTGCAAAGGTGAAATATAATTCCTTAATTGGATTTTTCTATTTCTGTTATCATTTTAGTATTTTTACCAATAGATGTGGGTGCGTATAGTAGGGGCCATCCAATAAGACTTCGCAGTGAACATGTCATATAGAAACGCAAACTGTCTTTTAAAAGAGCAAAGGCGCAGGTTCAGAATGTAAAGTTCTGCCTGCAGGCTAATTGTGGGTAATGGGGTGGCAGAGGTGACAGAGACGGTGACACATGAGGTGACAAGTAGAACAATTAAATAAAAAAGCCCAACGTTGAAAGACTGTTGAATGTACACACAAGGCATGGATAGATGCTACAAACGCACACAGGAACGCACGCGCGCCCGCATGCACACTTACGCGCGTACATACAGAGAAAAACTAGACACGCTACATCACTGCCAACTCTTACGGCCGAGTGCTCAGTAGTATATGAAGAAATGCTGTAGGAAATAAGGAATGGAGCCTGCAGGACATATACACAGTATCGAGGGACTAGCAGCTTGTCGTTAGCCTCCTCCTGCTTCTCCTCCTTCCCTCTCCTCCTCGTCTCCTCGTCTTCCTCTTCATCTTCCTCCTCTCCCTTCTCCTACTTCGATACTTCATTATCCTCGTCCTCCCCCTCTCATCCTCCCCCTCTTCTTTGATTTCTAGCACAAGGAAGGGAAGCGAGCGCGTGAGCTAAGACAAACAGCATGTGCAGACCAGCTGTGAACACGTGTGACTGGGGATCGCGGGCAGCGGCTGCACTGGACAGGTCAATGCACGGTCCGAAGCCAAGCAGCTGGCAGAGGGCTTATCCATGTCTTCACACCATGGTGCCGGAGCCCCGTTATACTGCTACTACTGCTGCTGCTACTGCTGCTAAGTACTGCTGGTAGTGGTGGTGGTGGTGATGGTGGTGCTTCTGCTACTGCTAAGTACTGATGATGATGATGATGATGATGATGATGATGATGATGATGATGATGATGATGATGATGATGATGATGATGATGTGGAAGAGGAGGATGAGGAGGAGGAAGAGGAGGAGGAGGCGAAGGATGAGGAGGAGGAGGAGGAGGAAGAGGAGGAGGAGGAGGAGGAAGAGAGGCAGGAGGAGGGGGAGGAGGATAAGGCAGGAGAAGGAACAGGAGGAGCTGGAAGAGCAGGAGGAGAAGAACAAAGAGCAAAACGTGGAGGATGGGCGTAGCAGGGTGTTAATTCTGATGACAATGGTGCGACTGGTGGTGGTTGTGGTTAGTTGTAATAATATTACAAGGGTTTACAAGGGTTTACAGGGTTTACAAGGGATTGCAAATAAATGATAGCATGGGGGTGGTACTCAGAGCTAGGGGCGTCCGGGGGGAAATTTTTGAATTGTAAAAGTTCTGAGATGCAATCTGGGACACTCTGTGTGTAAATTTGAAGCACTGCATGTGGGGTGAAAATGTTTGTTTTGCATGGGCAAAGCCATCGGAAAATTCAAAATAATTTTAATGGAATAAAAATACAAAAATGTAGGGGTGAACTTGCTGGTTTGCTGGTTCCAAATCGAGTTCACCTCTCATAAAAAAATAAAAAAATGTTGTCACCATTGACAATGGCAGGAGTGGTCGGTAAGTGTACCAGTCTACTCTACCTCGTGTTAGACTGGGTTACCTGCCCCGTAATAATGCCGTTGGAAATTAATTCACGATTTAATTCACGATTAAGGTTTCTTGATGAGCTAGAAAACACTCGGATTTGAAGTATGAAAATGAACATTATTGTGCCAGCTAGCCTACACCAGTTGGTTGGAATTGATTGTCAGTTCAGATGCAAAAAAATATTTAAAACAAAAGGTTATACACCATAGATTAATTTTGGTATAGGGGATATATGTATAGGGGGTAATATGGCATAGGGCATAGGGATAGGGTGATTGCCTACCCGTACCATCGAGACCAACGTGTATTAAAGGAAGAGTTTACTCTAGGTTCTAGGCTTATTTTCAGCTAATTTAAGTTATAATTACGCTACATAAAAAGTTTCATGGTTCAATCACCATTAATAGAAATATTATTAAAAAATGTTTTAAAACTAATGACTACAGTTTGATTACAACGACGGTGGCGCCACTCAAAGTGCACGATCTGATAAGTTGCGCAAAACCACTTTCCAACCAAGGGCTACAGACCGAGGGTGTTTCTTATTTATTCATTCAGTTTAAAAGGCAAAACGGATTGTCATTCATTATAAAACGACATATAGTTTCAGCTTTATAATATAGATAAATTTGCCCTAAAATGAATATCGTTCGGTTAAATAGCAATTTAGGTATAAATATAATTGCACTTTTGTGATTAGCCCTCAGTCTGTGAACGTGCAAAATAAATTGTCAAATACGGCAACTTTTTCGTCGGGGTGGCAGCACGGTCGCAGGTGTCATGGCGCCGTTCAAATTTCGTAGCAGGTTTGATGTGTAAATAATTATACACAATTAATTAGGTATCTGGTACAAATACGTGTGGTATAGACGATCTGTTATACAGTAAAGTACAGTTGTATGCAGTAAATATCTAGAGGCTACTGTCGCCTTTTAATTAAATTGTTTTGAACTTCTCGTGTATCCACCAGCATGGCGGCGTATGATATTTAGCGTGGCGGGTGCATTTTTAGGATGGCGGGGTCACACGATGGGAGTGCCCTTGGAGAACCTTTGAATATCTACAAGAGCCGCAGAAGCGTCTGGGCTCATCTGAGGTCTGTTGCTACGGTATATAACGTAACATTTAAGTTGTGCATAGTGACACCTTTGTTAGGCGCAGAGATATGGCAGATACGGCAGTTGCGGTACACATCATTTCAGCAACCTTCTGCATTCTGCATAACTCGCCACAATCCGCATTGGTTGATACAAATCGCGTGCCTGAAATAATGTTTTTATGGTGCATTGTGACCGCTAACCCTATAATAACAAAAACAAAACAAGGTAGGCCAGTGATTAGTGGACCGAATAAGCTCAAGAACGTACACATTTACGTCTATATTGGTGCCAAAATTTGATGAGAAATTAAAGTCTGGGAAATCCACAGCCTCACGTCCTGGGTAAATTATTTGAGTGCTAGTGACTATTCCATTCATAATGTACATGGCAGAATCTCATATATACTCATCTCATTATCTCATAAGTAAGCCTTGTTCAAGTAAGAAGTTACTGTGTGGAATTTCACTGTAAAATGGGAGCGTTTCCACAACCACAGGTACTCGCCAACAGCAGTTGAGAAACAAATCAATGTTTAACCCTCCTAACAGCTGCAATTGAGAGCCTGCCACCTGTACCTAATTAACGCAGGCAAAAAACTACACCAATAACTATCACACCGACATGCACTGGCAGTGGCCACTGGCCAGTGGCATATTACACAGCTGACAGTACAGAATGCCATAGAAATTATACGATTTAAGGAGGCATAAACCTCTTCAAGCAATTTAGCTTTTGAAATTTCACTGTGACATTGTAGCCTCAATACATCCAGGCATGTATAGATTTACTACGCAAACCCAGCAGTCAAATTCTTTCTAAACACAGTAACAGTTAACAAATCCATGTTTAAATCCCTCCTCTTGAGGTCAAAAGGTTATCAGACACTTACTCTTCGCCACGTCAGTGGAAAGCACATTTCATGTCCTTTCAATAAAGCCATAAAAATGGTGGGTCACCGTGAAAAAAAAAGTTTTTTCATTGCTCCGTCAGAGCCCATGTCCTCGAAAAATGTCTAAAATCTGCCCTGTGCCCATTGACCTTTGACACTGTGACCTCCAATTTCGGCACAGTGGATGGCTTTTCCTACCATGATGGCTATAACACCGACTATCACAAGCCTAGGTCGAGCGCCGTTATTAGATTTGTGCCGAACAATTCTGGCATTTCCTCCCTATACCTTAAGTTAAGGAGTGAATGTTCCCGCCTTATTTTACACACTCTTGACCTTTGACCTTTGACCGCCCAGCTTCGACATCCACAACTCGTTTTCGGATACCCCCCACGTCCCGAATATCGTGACCTGTACGTCGAGCGGTTATAATTTGTGCCCAATGTTGACGGGACGGACGCACGGAGACGGACGACGGACGGACGATCAATGCGATTCTACAAGCTGCATCTGACTATGTCAGATGAGCTAATAAATAGTTAAAATCGGCATGGAAAAGCCTAAACAAATGGCATGATTCGGGGGAGATCGTGACAAATCCAAAGGTCTGGCAGCCCGTGTCGTGCAAAGTACAAAGTCCTTACTAGATGTCGAAAGAGCGAGACCGAGAGACAGAGAGATAGATAGATACAGAGAGAGAGAGAAAACTCAAGAAAGAGTGAGAGAGAGCGAGAGAAAGGGGAAAAGGGTGAATGAGAGAGAGAAAGGCCAGTAAGAGAGAGAGAGGAGAGGATGGGGAAGAGCATGAGAAGTAGGATGGGAGAGAAAGAGAAGAGAGAGAGAGAAGAGAGAGAGAGAGAGAGAGAGAGCGAGAGAGAGGGAGAGAGAGAGAGTGAAGAGCGAAGAGAAGGGGGAGGGTCGGATTCATGGTATAGTCGGAGGGCACTAGCATTGGAGAATCGCGAGCAAAGCATTTGTGTTTTAAAATAGTAATTAGGGAAGCCATTGAACATGCGTCTATAATACACACGATGCTTGATTAGCATACGTATATATGCATTTACATATTAATGGAAAATATAGCCACGCTTGCCTTCAGTAAACAAAGTACAGAAATATTAATGCCAGCAGATTTCCACAATACCATGGTGATTTACTAGCCAGAACTTACTGTATTGCTAACTGCGGTGCACGCACAGACACTGTACATTTTCCTAATGTTTTAAAATAGATAAACGTTCTGCGATGTTAGCATTAGTCGTAAGTCTCGTAACTGATAAATTTATTTAAAAAATCACATTTTTACCATGATCATCAAAAACGAAGACGAACTTTTCCCCATAGCAAACTCTCGTAATGATTACACGGACATAACACACGGGATGATTGAAACATTCTGTAGCGGTCATTTACCAAACGTCTGTGTAATATCATCAGTCTAATCTACTGAGGCCTATACGTAATCCTGGCTGCCTTTGGTTTCGCTTACCCTGTGGGCTGCCTAGGCTACACAATGTTCAGGTACATAAGGAGGTTAAGTCATATATTAGCTTCTATTTACAGGGTTTCTTCTGGAGGGAAAATTAACAAAGGACGGTTAGGCCATTTGGGGAAAAATGTGCGCATGATGGAGTGTCAAATACAGGATGTATTGATATACTAATAGTATATAGATACAGGCGTATCTTATCAGTAAATACAGGGGAACATTTTCACAACGCGCGATGTTAAATTTGACAACAGCGGTGGCGCGCACTGTGCTCCTTTATGTATGAAACGCCTGCAGGCTCGAATTAAGCACGAGAGCGCAAGGCCAATTTTGTTAAGGGGCTTGGAGAAATCGCATTGAATTTCTCTAAAATGGAAGGTCGACAAGGCAATTTTAAGAAAGGCACCAAGGCAGTCTCAAAATTGAGAAGGCACAAAGGCACTTTTGTAAAAATAAAAAGAAACTCATAACAAATTATCACATCAACATCGGTTGCTTTTAAGATGAGTACACATTATATCAATTTGTTGCCGTCCCCGATGTAAGCTTACCTGCTTCACATCGCGTTCCAGTTACACTGTTGCCCCCGTCTGCCAATGAAGCAGTAACAAGAAATTTTACATGCCCGCTATCAGGAGCGAATAATTATGTTATTATTCCCTCCTGCGACTATCGGTTTTAAACTCATCATTGCAACTACAGCACGCATGCGCACGTGTTATGTTGACTCGACTAAAAACGAAACTAGGGCAGTATATTAAAGGGCACCGACGGCAATTACACAAAAGGGTGTCGGTCGGGTTGGATTTTCAGGGGCAGTACGGCGATTGATAGGGGCACCGACGGTGATTGCCGTCGGTGCCGTCGGTTAATTCGAGCCCTGAAACCCTGTATTTATATGGAGTAGCTTAAAAGAGCAAAAGTAAGGGTCAAGTAGGAACAGGGTTTCTAATGTTGCTAGCTGTACAAACAACCAGTTATAAATATGAGCATGCTATTAGACTCTCAGGGTCACTCATGTGACCGACACTTTTTCCTAAAACGGAACTGACATGAATCTGCTTAAATATCAAACTGTGTGACATTAACGTGTGCAGAAAGTTGCAATTTGGCACACCAGTATGACATTAGTCAGATGCAGTCGGGCAGTACCACCTTTGACAGGGAGTTTGAATTGTTAATGCTTACAGCAATCACAAATGCCACGACCCTACAAGCCCATGCATGTAAACTTCAATAGATGTGATAGTGGAAGTAAAGTTGCTAGGATGTGTACTGTAAATTGTGCCCAAGGACAGGAGAGTACTGCCCCAATGCAAAATATGCGTGTGGCTCTGTAACTAAGTAATGGGGTCAGTGAACAACTACATGAGCGTGCTTGTGGGCTGTGTAACGGGCACGTTTTTAACTAGCACGCCGCAGAGCCTACTACTCACATTGCTGCTACCTTCACCTGCCTCTGACCCTACTTATGTCACATGATGTTACACACACAAGCGTGCGCTCGATGTGGGGCATCAGCCCAGGAAATGCCTACACACTGGGTATAGCTGGACTGCAAGAAATCTTAATTTAGCCTAAAACGTACATTCCGGTGTGTGACTGATGGTTAGACAGGTCTACCGATCGGAAAGTAATGTGGTGATATCAAGAGCGGATAATACCTCTTGATTGAGAGGTATTATCCGCTCTTGGTGATATGTATCACAGGGCCGCTGTCAGTAATATCGCTTAGTCCCATGCATGCATGCGCACCACTCAGATGCATCATGCAACATGCATGTACATCAAGAGCTCATAATAGAGATGTACATGATGTACAGATGTACATAATGATGTACGCGCATGCACACACACATGCACGTACGCACACTCGCGCGCACTCGTACACACACATGCACACAGGTGGTTTAATTAACCCTGTAATCAGTGTAATGCCAATAGGTTCCCGGGTTTTATTGCTAGGTTTGGAATTATGCCCCGATTAGGGTTAGACTAGAAATAAGTGTTAGTTTCAGGGGCAAGGATAGGGATGTTGGTCTCGATAGCGATGACGTATATACAATAGCGTGTGTTGGAAGTCATGTCTGAGTAAATGTGTTTGTGTTAAAGGTTGTGGTGACGACGATGATGGTTGCTGCACCAGGGCTGCCCCAAAGTAGGACTAAACCCACTATATGGCACTAAGGGCTTGGGCATGCACACACGACTCAGCTTTAATTATGATGACGCTTGACGATTGCTTACTTGAAATGCCACGGCTCTGCCGTGGAAAGCTGCGTGGTTGAAAGTTTCCATCTCTCGTAATATGTCCCACGGAACGTTTTTCTCATGTGGGAATAGCTGCCCATCATCACACCACGTGTCGAACTCTATGAAGTATTTTAGTGACTGCCGAAGCACTCCCAACACGTCCGTATATGCTTCCACGTCCCTACATTTATGTCCAGCCAGAAAGAGAAACGACTCGCGATTCAGACAAACGTCTCTAGAGATCCTCAGTAGTTTGAGTACACAGGCGTCTATAACTTGAACGATGCTGCGATATCCATTTCCCGGTGTCGTCGCGTCGAAATCGTATTTTGCACCGATTGCCTGCAAGATTTCCATGTACGGTTCAACTTTTTCTAAATGATCGTGCATATTTGAAAATGCTGTGTACAGACGATCCTTGTAGCTACTCATATCGTCCTGATAGTATTCCATATTGCTAAGAGCTAACGATCGAACCGTTTTGAACAGCACAGATCTAGCAGAAAAGGGATTAATACCCCGACTCACATTAAACATTTCTGCGAGGGGCTCCATGATTGTTTACTTCTTTTGACCTGAGAACAGAATATCCTCAGAAATGAAACGGATTGGTTATGTACTATCACGTGTCGTGTTGGTCGTCCTTTTAAGACGAGTGCTAACCCTATTGGTTGTTTGGATGCCGATGGGTAGACTGGTACCCGTTCGCCACCTTCACTCCGGCAAGTATCCTTCGCTACACTGACAAACACTACGGTGTAGCGTGTGGAACTGTCGACCGGGTACCAGTCTAACTAATAGGCGGTACGCGTGATTTTTTTCCTAGGTGCTAGGTTAATAATCCTAGGTTAATGGTTAATCTGGGTTAATCCATGGATCTCAGGAGTAGATAATAGGGCATTTCCATCCCATCCGTTTTATCATTATTTTCCTGTTTTCTGTATTTTTCTATCTTTATCCGTTTAAAATTTTTTTTCCAATTAACGCAAATATTTACATTATTTATTTACAACAATTAAAAATGTAATTTTTTATATAAAAAAAGGGTTAGGGTTAGGGTGCACCATAAAACAGGAGTTTGAGGCACGTGATTTGTATCAACCAATGGCAGCGCTCACTAGAGCCCTATGTTCTTGATTAACCTAGGAAAAAAAATCACGCGGGCGGCATAAGCATACTTCGGTGGCTTTATTAATTATCGTAATAATTAATTACTAATATTTTCACCCCTTATACAAAATCGGGAATATACTTCCGGTCGGGTCTCAACACCCCCACCCCCTCCAAAAAAAGAGGTGTGATGAAATTGAATTTGCCCCATTAAATCCATGTGAAAATTCAATATCCCAACTCTCAATTGGTCTATTATAATTTGAAATAAAGCGGGGATTTAACTTTGGTAAGCAGTGATAAGACGTGATTTGGGAATTTTGAAAAAAATTGTAGTAGGCAATGCGTCCAAAATGAACCGTCTGAGTTTCAGTAAAATAATTAACCTGTATGATACAGGCGGTATGTTCTGCTTCACTACACTAACCGCTGTACGCGAGCTCAACCCTGGCGGTTCGTAAGCCTCGTTATCGATCGACCGGTTGTTATGGCAGGGAATCTGATTAGCAGCGAGCAATCGAGCGTACAGAAGTAAATACGACAAAACTTCGCCCCAAGCAAATACCTGATGAATTGAAACAATCTAGTTAATGGCTTTGGCAGAAGCGTGCACTATTTGCAGTTATAAATTCAACTTGAATAACTTGAGAAATGACGTCAGGCAAAAGCCTGCTCGCTGATTGGCTGATTGGCCCGTTCCGTTACAGCTCTCTGATTGGGCGCGATGATTTCTTCGTTCGCGAAGCGCGCTGAAGAAGCAAGGGGTACAGGCGGTTAGTGTAGTGAAGCGGAACTGGAACATACCGCCTGTATCATACAGGTTATAAAATATAATGTCATTCTTGGAACGGGTTACAGACATTTTACAGTAGATGTATATATGTCACTTAAAGGGGCAGTAGCCTCTAGGATTTTACTGCATACAACTGTACTTACTGTATAACAAATCGTCTATACCCACATGTATTTGTTACCAGATACCTAATTTAATTGTTATAATTAATTACACATCAACGCTACAAAATTTGAACGGCGCCATGACACCCGCGACCGTGCTGCCACCCCGAAAAAGTTGCGTATTTGGCAATTTATTTTGCACGTTATGTACAGACCGAGAGCTAATCACAAAAGTGCAATTATATTTATACCTAAATGCTATTTAACCGAACGATATTCATTTTAGGGCAAATTTATCCATATTATAATTGAAACTATATGTCGTTTATAAGATATTACAATCCTTTTGCTTTTAAAGAAATAAATAAGAAACACACTCGGTCTGTATAGCCCTTGGCTGGAAAGTGGTTTTGCGCAACTTATCAGATCGTGCGCGTTGAGTGGCGCCACCGTCGTTCCAATCAATTGGTTAGTTTTAGTTCAGTTTTAGTTCAGTTTAGTTTTAGTTCAGTCGTTAGTTTTAAAACATTAAAAAAAATATTTCTAATGGTGATTGAACCATGAAACTTTTTATGTAGCGTAATTATAACCTAAATTAGCTGAAAATAACCCTAGAACCTAGAGTAAACTCCCTTTAATATCCATTTGTGTAATAATTACATTAGGAGAGTATGACTGATTTTTAGATAAATGTTCAGTATTTATTGTCTGTAAAATATGAAATTTTTCCCCATTTTCCATGATTGTACACGCCATCCTACACAGTGGGGGATTCCCCCACCCCTCGGTATCTACGCCCCCCTTTCAGCTCATCATCCCTTAATTTTTAACTTGGTCGCTTAACTTTTAACTTAATTTTTAACTTTAAATAAAAAAACCCAGATATTAATACGTGACGAGTATACTCGAGTCTAGATTAACTATTCATTTCTATGACGCCACCAGAGACGCCACTTCACCAGCGGAAGAAAGTGAACTTGAAAATGAAGCCAGCGCATGCAGCTTCGTTATTTAGTGCTGCCACATAATGGGAGAATCTAGAACTAAAGGCATAAACGTCCGCAGCTGTATTTGGAAAAACAAAGATGGCAGCGCCCAGCTACCGAAATTTCTTGTTTTTGATAGAATCCTATTATTCAAGATGACATAATGGTTATTAATGAACAATGGAAGAGGACGTAACTGTGAAACCCGTAGGTTTTAAGCTGTTTAATAATTTTCCAGCACAAAAGTGTGCTTATAGTACTCGTTTGAGCAGTAAAATGAGTAATTTATGGGGGTCCCATCCTAGCAAAATTGACATCCCGATCAAATGAGTAATATTAATAACAGCGCAGACACTCGCCAAGGAAATAATTCAAACCACATTAGTATACTATACGTGCACATAATAAGCATACATAAGCTTTGGTGGCTGTCTGTGTTTGTGTTTTTCATCGTGCTTTAGTGACGAAGAACAGTATACAATGCTGCATGCAGGCAGAGGACTGAGGAGGGGGAACGGAATGAAGTTTGTGTGCGTGCGTGCATGCGTACGTATATGTGCATGAGGGAGACAGACATGGAGATACAGAGTGAGAAGGAGAGAGTGGGGAGATAGGGAGGGGAGGAGAAGAAAATAGCAAGAAAAAGAGGCTGTAATTTTGCTCTCTGCTTCACTGTATAAGTGAAGCAGAGAGCAAAATTACAGTGTAAACGCTTATGTGACCGTTGTGACGTCACGAAGATTGCATATGGGTGTCGCTGTGCCGAGAGAGAATAAGAGAGAGCAAGAAAGAGAGAGAGGGAGGGAAAGAGCTGAGGTCTATATAGCTATATAGGAAGAGAGAGAGAGACAGACAGGCAAAAACAGCCACACACACAACAAGCATGAGAGAGAGAGAGGTGAAAGAAAACGAAGAAGGGAAATGGAGAGAGGGAGAGAAAAGAGCAGGAGAGATGTGGACAGTGATACACGCACGCACGGACGGACGCACACACGCACCCACACACACACAGAACGAGAGTGAGAGAGAGACTGAGAGCATGCATTGTCTAGACATGCACGTGAAGAAATATACATAAGCGTGCATACATTTTGCATGGACATAAAAACTTGTTTAGCAATCAGTACATTTTTGTACGCAGCACTAGAGGGGAGGAAGCAGCTGTGTATGCTGACCAGACCATTTATGGTAAACCCTAGCCGCGTCCTACATGCTAGGAAAAACCTATACACAGCCGAGCAGCTGTTTTTGCATGCCCTTCAGACTCTAATATAGCTGTGAACTTATGGTGCCATCATAGAGGGAAGAAAGAAAATTATCCAGCATTATGTCCCATTAATATATTTTCTTGAACTTTATAAATTAATGAGTTAAACACAGGTATGTATTATGTAGAAGGTATAAGGCGTAGTGTGTTATATCCTGCACACAGCCTACCTAATACACTATGCCAACTCTATAGTGACAATCCACCTACACCTCATTTGCTGTAGGAATGCAAGGGCTTTAATTGTGGATAAAAAATGTTTTAACTTCGTATTGTTATGCCAATAACTTCACACCTGTCTACAAATTAAACAGAGATTTCATGCCATCATTTCTTGTGGCCAACAGCATAGATCACATCCAGAGAGACCGGATACAAGATGGCCTTGCGCAAAAGATGCGTTGTTCCCCGACCGCCGAAAGCGGTTAAGCCGCGCACTTCCGCGGGACTGGGCGCACGCGACCGCGGGATGTATAGCTATAGCTCCCGCTATACGCATTCGCGCGCCGAAGGAAGGCGGGCGCGCGAATGCGTATAGCGGGCAGCGTAACATCGCGCAGTTTTCGGGACACGTACATCGGCTCGGCTACATCGGCTTTGGAGGGGGGGCTTTCCGATTATGGATTGACACGCGTTTGTACATCCTCGCCGTCGTACCGTCACCTGCCGTATTTTCGTACCTTATCTGGCGTTCTCCCACTATCTTTCTCTCTTTCTCGCACTCCCCACAGTCTGTCTCTCTCTCTCTCTCGCTCTCGCTCGCTCTGCCGCCACGGGTTAATAAGGTATCTATATACATGCATCAATGCTGCCGCACAGCACTGCACTGTACTTGCAGCGTTTCAATAAAATGTAATGCTAAATAAATACAAAATCTATTTACTACGAAAGTCACGGCGGCGCAAAAACTCCCCGAGCCAGCTCCACGTGAGCGCGGGGGAGGAGGGAGGCTGGAATGTGCCGCCCGCCGTCTTCGTAAAAACATGTGCATATATATATTTGTGTGTCAGTGTGGCGGCGTGTTGTACGATTAGCTACGTGTAAAAACTGCGACGGCCACGCCAGCACGTGCTCGCACGACGTGCCGTCGCCACGGGCAGCGCGGGGTCAAGAGGACATATCAAATTCCATATTGCATATACGGCTGCTGGTTTTCCACAGAACGTCTAGTGGCAGTTCTCAGTCTAAACAACCATCAATCACTGAGGCCTGCGGGGTCCTAAGATGGCTGGTGTGGAAAATTCTGTGGAAAATCCCTCGAAGAGAGCCTCGTCGCGCCATCTATGGGACGCCATATGTACGAGAATAAGTTCAGGGCGTAAAATTCAATAAATTGAAAATCGCTTTTCTACAGGAAAACCTAAAGCGCCCACCATAAAACTACCAATTACGAGCACTCGGATTTATTCTCGCCCTAAGTGCAGAGTCGAAAGGCTTCTGCAATTGCCACAACTCCTCAATTGACCGATTATCCGGCTTTCTGTAGTACCCAGAGGGCGCTGTTCGCGCTTCGCGCGTATATCCGGGCTGCAGATCGTCCAGTGGCATGAGGACAGAAAACTTTCTGCAGTTTGTGCATAGGGGTGAAGTTATTGGCATAACAATGCAAAGTTAAAACATTTAGTTTTCAATTCAAAGTTAAAATAAATTTTTACCTCACTATTTTCCTCTAACATTAAAGCGCTGCTATCCACGAAATTAAGTTTCTTGGAGGTCACAACGAGGTTGGCGTACAATATCAGGTAGGTTGTGTGCGGGGTAGTACCCAGTATAAATGCCTTCATCATTGCACTGCTAAGTTCTAACTAAGTTAGGTGCACAAACGCTTACAATGGCACATTTTGGGATAACATTTTATCCTTTTCATTATACAATACATATTATTGCTTAAACCGACCCTTTGCAGTTGACGTTACGCATACAAGATCTAAATCCCCACATTGTGTGCAGTCTGTGTGCTGGTTACTTCATTGATGCGACGACAATTACAGAGTGTCTGCACACGTGTGAGTTTATTTTATTGTTTTAATTGATAAGGAGTGGACTCAACTTTGTGTCACATAATGCATCCACGTACCACTGTGAAGTAACTTGGCTAAGCAAGTCATTAGCGCAACTGAGATATGTTTAAATCTGCAAAAAAAAGTGAGCAATTTATTAAAGTTGTGTCTGGTTATGCACTGTTCAGGGGTTGACGTACGCCTTTCTAAAGTATATGCATTGACTGTGCTTTAAGTGTTTTAATTTCTGTTTGTGCAACTAGTCTGCAAGAGTTGCATAGTGAAATACCTGCAGACACGAAAACATTGTCCGTCATGCAATGTCAAGGTTCATGAGACACAGCCTCTACTGAAGCTGAAGCTGGACATTGTCATGCAGGTATAGATTCCATATTCTCTTATCACCCTCGTAACACTTATTAGGAGAAGTTCAATTTAGCAGATATTATTGCAGTCGATGTTTTGCAAGAGGTGATATCAAATGGGTGGGAATAGAATGAATGCATGTTCGACGGGTGTTTGTCTGTGTAAATGAGTGATAGGCATGAGTATTTATGTAAAATTGGGTTTCACATTCTTCAGGATATTGTGTACAAACTTGTGCCACGTTTGTATGAGAAGGAGCAAGCCAGGCAGAAGATATTCTACCAGACCAGAGGGCTGCATTTGGGCCACGTGCGACCTGATAGATCTGGTATGCCATGGAATTGCTGTAATAAGTTGCAAAACTATGATAGAAAACATGCAATTAAGGATGCAGTCAAACCTTTATATGAAATTTCAACATTTTGTTGTCACATAATTAGGTGCAGAATATTTTGTGATATTTCTCAGCTTGGGCATAGAGGTACATCTCATCTCTAAATATAACGTGTGATTGTTATGATTCATCACTCACTTGCTCTGATCGTTGCAAGGGCCCGGTGTCAGAAAAGTAACAGCTATTTATGATTCTGACAACAAACCCAGAAAAATGTATGCTTCAAAGGCAATTGTTATCAATGCAGTATGTATAAATGTTATATATTTTGCAGCCAGTGTTCTATACATTAAAATACTACACATTTCAGCAGAGCAGTCATTTGATCAGCTAGCCAGGCCAGCCCCTACTCTGCACAGAGGCCATTTTTACTGTTTTGACAAGCAAGTGAGTCTGCGCATAGAGCCATCCAGGTATGTACTGTATAAGTAACAGTCTCCTATACTTAAATATGCATGGTGTGGCACGACATCATTTGTATTGATTATTATGATTACTGTTATTATTATTATTGTACGAAGAAGTATAAGTCCGCGACGAAGTCGGCGGGGATACTATGGTTTCATGTCTGTCCAGCCGCCGCCGCCGCAGACACTTTCCCTTCCGCTCTATAACTCGACCCCTAATTGACCTAGCATGACCAAACATGGTCTACTTACACATCTTGGGGAGAAGGTGCGCAGCGTACCAAAACCAGGTCACTGCAATCTTTATTTGACCTTGACATTGACCTTGATCCTATATCCTTTCCGCTCTATAACTCGGCCCCTAATTTACCTAGTGCTACCAAACTGGGTATACTTACACATCTTGGGGAGAAGGTGTGTTGCGTACCGAAACCAGGTCACTGCAACCTTTATTTGACATTGACCTTGATCATATTTCCCTTCCGCTCTATCACTCGGCCCCTAATTGACCTAGCGCGAGCAAACTTCGTATACTTACACAGCTTAGGGAGAAGGTGTGTCGCGTACCAAAACCCCTAAGGCAACCAATTTTAACATACTTGCACATCTCAGGCAGATGAGTTGTGTAACAAACCTTTGTCTTTGTGACTTATTTAACTTTACCTACCTTCTATGTCCTTACAGAGATATTTCATTCATACTAGCTCACGGGGGATACATGTAGTTGGCGACAACTGCCCTTTCTAGTTTATGATTACATTGATATGTGGCCTAGGCAAAACGAAGTTAATGTAGACCACAAGTCCAACGATTATTACAAGAATTATTACAATGTTGAAACTGATGTGAAGTTATTTGTGTATTTAAACAAATAAATAAATAAAGGTCAGTAATATTACATTGCACTTATATTAGTGTGAGTAAATAATTGCTTACTGATCTAGTGTAAATCCTGAAAACAAACAAATTGTGAGTTGCAATGAAAAGTAAAACCCATAAACTCATTAACTAACGAGAATACTAAAGTACGTGTTTTATCCCTCAACTCATTCTTAGGTGAGTTTTTTTTGGAGTTGTTTTGCATCCTAATGAACATTGTCTGTTTTTAGCTCATCTGACATAGTCAGATGCAGCTTGTAGAATCGCATGAGCGTGCATCCGTGCGTCCGTCCTGCCGTGCGTCCGTCAACATTTGGGCACAAATCTAAACGGCTCGACATACGGACACGATATTCGGGACGTGGGGGGGGGGTAATCCAAAAACGAGTTGGGATGTCAAAGCTGGGGGTCAAAGGTCAAAGGGCAAGAGGTGTAAAAGAAGGGGGAACATTCCCTCCTTAACTTAAGGTATAAGGAGGAAATGCAGAATTGCGGCACAAATCTAAACGGCTCGACCTAGGCTCGTGATAGTCAGTGTATAGCATCATGGTAGGAAAAGCCATCACTGTGCTGAAATTGGAGGTCACAGGTCAAAGGTCAATGGGGCACGGAGCAGATTTTAGACATTTTCTGAGGACATGGTCTGACAGAGCGATTGAAACTTTTTTGTTTCAGCGGTGACCTAGCATTTTTATGGCTTTATTGAAAGGACCATGAAATGTACTTTCTGCTGACATGCGAAGAGTAAGTGTCGGATAACCTTTTGACCCTCAAGAGGAGGGTTAAACATGGATTTGTTGACTGTTAACAAAGGACTAAACTGCTTTTGCTATTGTGGATGTGAGGCTACAGTTGCACAGTTCAATTGCAAAGGCAAATGGTTGTTGAACAAGGTTTACGCTCCTTAAATCATATTATTTTCTAAAGCAGTCTGTATTAGCACCCTGAGTAGCACTCTGTATTAGCACACTGTAATGAACCCTGAATGCTCGCGTGGGTAGGCAAAAACATGGGGGCAGCCCATTACGCATGCATGGGGGTGAACTGGCACTATTCTAATCATAATTATTGCCTGGCAACCTGTAATGCAGATGTGTTAACTCACAGCTGAGCAAAATTCTCGCCTGCTTGAATATACTTGGATTTCAGCAACTCAATGGAGTGAGGTTATCACGCACGAAGGGTGATGCCATCTTTGATTGTTGATGACACTTGCACGCGCCATCTCGCGGCAACTGCTTTTGCTATTAGAGCCCCCTCCCCCCACTCTCCCCTCACAACCACCACTATGCTCGCGCTCGACGCATATCCATGATAACATGTTAATATAGCAAAGTCATTAAAGTTACACAGCTGTATCTTTATTACTGTACTACCGGTATAGCAAAGCCTAGCTATCATAGATTTTAGATCTGTATTAGTAGTATCCTAGATATATGGTCTGAGCGCGAACGCGGTGATGGGAGGGTGTTCTTCATTCGTTTACCAGTGAGTTTAGCATCAGAACACCTGCCGCCAGGTGAGCGCTGTCGCTCAGTGGCACTTGTGGAGAATTAACTAAAGTTTATTCTTAGATGTCATAAAGCCAGTGCTTCACGACTGAAACCTTCCATGCTGAGTCAGTAACATATATTGCATTAGTGTGCGATCGCGTTCGCACTGCCTCTGTTATTATCGCTTGCAAATCTCATCATTGGCTCCCTCCGATCCGTCGTTCTCTTTCAGCAACGATGCGGAGCTGCCCAAGATACTGCAGAAGTTTGTTCGCTGCCCCGTGCGAACGAGGGCCCTGCAGTTGGAGAAGCTACTCAGAAGGAAACTTCTGCTACCTCCCACGAGAGAGGTGAGTGCCGGAACTGCGCGGTCGCGTCGTGTGGGGAGAGGCAAACAGGCGTCATTCGTCATTACGCGGTGTGTTGAGAGATGGTCAGCCATTATGTGTATGACTCTGAGAAACAAAGACCTTTACTCTCAACCATGATTATCATTATGGGCTTGCGATATATTTTGCGAACATACGTTGAGAGAGACCATCCAGTGTTATGTGTGTATACACTAGTTTGAGGAAAGCAGGTGGTAATTCATCCACAATTGATTCATTATGATCATGCAGGTAGTATTGATAGCTAAAATTGTGCTAACATGGCTAATGTAGATATTTAGCAGACAACTTGTTTCAACTGCAGCTGGAGATACTATGCAGTGGCATGGTTCTGGACCAGGATACCCCCATGAAGAAGTTAATGGTGATAACTGCGTACGATGAAAAAGAGGTGCGTAGCAGTTGTATGTAAACTCCTGTATTGTAGCAGTAATGCAATTCCTGCTAGTCGTTCATTGTGCATACATGTAAATTTATCATAGATCTCCCTCACTTGCGTTAAATGGGTGTAAAATGGAAAAGCAGTGGTTTCTATTTGATGAATTCAATTGTTTTAATTTCATTTTGTTTGTGCTATAGGATATACCCATCCTGTTAAACTACAGACTGAAGAAGCAATAAATGATCGTAGACTGGGACTGGAATGGACAGATTCAGTTTACACAGGTTGTAGTTTATATAAATTGAGTATCACATTGTACCTTGTTTTATATTTGTGAGAGTCTCGTTTGGCCATAATAATTGCAAGAAAGATCAGAATTTTTTGCCTTAACTTGCAGTCAAACATTGAAAATATTGTTGCCATTTTTGCTTTCGTTTCATGAGTCGATGAAGGAGTAATCATTAGGGCTGTAACGATCCACTGAAATCGAATCGGATCGCGATTCTCTTCCCTCGATCCGATCCTCGATATTTTTCCCCGTATTGCAAAATAATGAAAATATCAAAAATAAGATGACATTTCAATATTTTAGGAATCGAATCGAAGGAATCAAATCGAGAGGCTAATATCGAGAACCGGATCGAATCGAGAGGCTTGTGTATCGTTACAGCCCTAGTAATCATGTCTAAGACGTTTTTTTGTGGCATTTTTTCTGTTTACACGCCTGGTTGGTTGAATGTTTTTTACTGTTCTTGTAAATAATGGGATGAATGATTGTGAACCCACTAACATTGTCAAAATTACGTCTTGTTATCTTGTAAAATCGTGGAATTCTTTGTTGTGTATTTGTGTACAATTGTGTTCATTTCTAGGAGCTGACAACTAATTTCAATTGGAAACTCTTTTTGATGTTGCCTTCGCACTGTATCGAGTTTTCCAGCAACAGTGATGGAGAGTATGTCTATCTACCTACCCAATGTTCAAAATCACGGAATCACGGACTGATAAATATTGTTGTGTTTAAGAAGTTTTATTTGTTATTTAGTAGGAAATCATGTCACATGGGGTTTATATACTTCTTGGTTGTCAATGTTCGTGCAATATGGCGTGGTCGTATTAAAATAACTTTTTATAACTACACTTTTCGGAAAGTGAAGTTCTGATTGCTTCAGAATTTTCTCCAGTTGGTTTATTGAAGATCCTATTATATATCATGTTTTGTCAATGTCTTGAGAATAACAATGAACAATAATTTACATGCGGTTATTGTTTAATTTTTAAAGCAGAAGACGAATCGATTCTAAAACACCATGTTATATTCTTCAAAACTATTTACACAATATACAGACTTACAAAGATGATGTTAGTAGAAAGCATCGAGGTACATCCAGAGGTTTACTGATAAATCAAAGTGCACAAATCAATTATTCCTGTCTATTTACCAGTAAACTAAAATGACAAAGTCATTCAACAGTTTTTATGTACATCAGCTAACATGGTTTAATGGTCTATGGTAAGCAAACATGATTGGTATATTACAGCCAACACAATTAGTGTTTCATACCTAGCCTGATGGCGTCACTGAAACTACTGTTATGGCTATGAGCAATCTAGTGCCACCACTCATAATATCTTGTGGCGGTCACGCTTTATCGAGACGGGGACCGGCTACATGCATGAAGCCCCCCCCCCACCTTCCCCATGACAGTGCAGGGCTGCTCGTGGCCTTAAAAAATAATACCACTCCTCACCTTCTTCCATAGTAGACCCTTGATTTTGCGCTTGCAGAAAAAGGGACACGGACACGTATCTTAAAAATATATGTGCATTTCCTCGGAATCCCCTATTACTTGCTTGTCGATGGTTCACAACCTGTCTTGCACGCGTTCGCTAATGCATGGAGTTGTAGGACATTAATTTAACTCATAAACGTGCGTTATCACGACGAATTTATGGACTTACGACGAAGGGAATCTGATCTACAGTAGGGGAATATCGAACGAATCTGGATTTTCAGTTGGTAACCAATCACTATAGACAGACGATCATTCTTGTGCAACGAAATTACTAAAGCTCTCCCATCGAATGGCATAGAAATCACCATGGATAGAACACATCAAGCCAGCTCACATATTGAGCTTAGAAGCATTCTGGTCCACTTAGTTCCACGACCTTCAAGATGCAGTTCAAAGAGAAGCTCTCAGCTGATCCAACTGATGGCTAGTGCAGGAGTGTCGTAGCCATACGATGAGATACCTGCCGCCTCCGTCACCAGTCATTCCCAGCGCGCCACGTGGGTGGCCGTACCCGGTAACTGTTACACGATCTCACCAACGTGAAACGACCAACGCGGGTGTGAGGTCTAAATACGCTCAGGGCATCGGTGACTAGTGAGACACCCCATGGGCGCATTAAAGAAAAGTCAGGTCGAACGGTGAGTACAGTATGTCTAGAGGTTCGACACGACAACGACCTGCTGCCAACAGACACAGGTGACTATTGGCTGGTCACTCTAAATCAGGTCATTAGGGGTTGGATCAGTCTCATGCAGGTCAGTCTGGGTAAGGTTAGCCTAGATCAGTCTCAGTCGGGTCAGTCTGGGTAAGGTTAGCCTGGATCAGTCCCAGTCAGGTTGGGTCGGCCTGGGTACGCTCACGAAAGGGGTCGCCGCTACCTTGCGGAAGTCCAACTAAATTCACATTTGTATTTCCTTACACGTGCATCTGACCATATCCATGCACGTTCCTTGACACCATTCCACATTATAGACAAGTGGCGATAGAAAAAAGCCAGTAAAAATGTTTAGTCTCTGGGACTAGTATGGGCTAACAAACCAAAGGACGATTAATCACTTCTCTCGTGCTCATCTTTAAATAGTAAAACGAGGAGTAAGATAATAGGGGACTATCACTCATCTATCTCCTGGCAATAATTATGGTAACATGATCATTTATAACAATTCTTCCTAATAAATTAGCATGTCTTTAAAAAAAAAGTAATGCAATATGATCAAATAATGTACAGATATAGCTATATCATGTTGGTAGTACTTTATGGGTACACCTCTGCCACAACTCGGCACTTTCAGTATTTACACAACTTCCTGACATTCACTCTCCAGTTGCAAGGTTTGCTAACCTTCTTTATAAAGCTCTGTTCTAACTTCTTATGTCCAATTTTGGCCTATATGTCAAGAGCAAAGGTGGTTCCTGCAAGAGAGATTGATGCTGATTTCATACACTTTATTAAGTTATCAATCTGAATTTAAATAATTATAGTACAATTAAAATTCTACAGCTGTGACAGAATGACATATTTAACCTCATTCATTATTCGTAACACAACAAGAGGAGACGTATCTGGAGTAAATAACCCCAGAAAATGTGTAAAGGCTAAAACAAGATAGGCCCAACAAACAAGAGAACAATGAAACATAGCGACCCTGGAAAACGAGTGAATGAGGAAATGCAGCATAGACATGGAAACGGGATAAAATGAAGAATCAAGAAAACAGAGATAATGAAATCCAAGTAACTTAGGAAACGAGTGAACAATGCAACACTAGGTCTATGTCACCCAGGGTACTGCAGGAACGTACCCTGGAACTATCTAATATGCCGGACCGTACCTCGCCTACCCCACTAACGAGTCTAGGGAGTCGCCTACGCCTACTCCCTAACCATAACCCTAACCATATCAGATAGTTACCAGGGTACGTTCCGGCAGTAGCCTGGAGGACATAGACCCTATGAGCAACACTAGGAGCATATCTACCTAGTGAACATTCAAGCATTCAACAAGGAAACCTCATACGACTGTGAAGGAACATACCTTAAACCGCCACCGAGTCACGCAGACAAATTTAAGTGTGTGGTCCTTGCCTAATAGTTCTTCATTGCACAAAATGTCAACCTGCAAAAGCACCACATTGTATACACCAACTGCAGTACCCAAAATATGATATTCTCCAGCCTAAGACGGAAATTCCTTGCAAATCCATTTGTCACAAAGCAATATTTTAGCAGCCAACTTGTATTTCTTCACTATTTTTGACTCATTACTTGACCAGTTAGTTTAAGCATAGATATGACTGTGACCATAGTATAGTTAGCATATGACCATTTGTAGTTAGCATAACTACAACGCTGCCATCTAGTGTCAGTATTATCAAACAAAGTTGAAACCCACCTCAACTCGTAACGAATGTAATAAATATAAAATGAAAGTGTCAATGACACTGTAGCTCACCTTGGGTGTGATAGAAAAGGGGGAGGATATATAAAGCAAGAGTATATATGGGAGAACTCCCATTATATAGCATATCTCCCATTATATACTCTTGAAAATGATGATATATGAGTAATTTTTTTATGCGAAAATAAACGTTTCAGATCTGTTGGCATACAATCTGATGGCATTGACCGTAGGCAGACACTGAAATGCATAGTGAAATTGCCAAAATCTACCTAATTTGCATAATTTAAAAAATATATAAAAACCCGTGTGATATGTTTTGGGGCCAGTCCTTATTCATTCACATACCAGAATTGAGCAAAATCCGTTGAACCTGAACTTATGGCCATTTCCACTTTTGCCAAAAAGTGGACGTCGCTCGAAAGTAGGTCGACTGGCGTACTCAAAAATAGGACGTTCAAACCTCTCCCATAGGAGTAACAACTATATGCAATTTGAAACATGTCGGTCAAACGGTTCCTGAGTTATCGTTGACCGTAGCCAAATGTTGACGGACGGACGGACGACGGACGACACCCCATGGCAATAGCTCATCTTGACGATGTCAAGGCGAGCTAATAAGGAAGATAGATAGATAGTGAATCTAGCTGTGCGTGCGTGCGTGTGTGCGTGCATGCGTGTTTCATTTTCATTGGAACAAACGTGGCACAAGTTCTTACATCCTGGAATTTATCGATGGTGCTGAACAGCTTTTTCGAGACGAACTTTTTGAGATGCGTCACTGTGGCGTGCGACGATACGCGGATGTATCGTTTCTTCAATCCCTTTAGCTGGCAACCTTTCGTACACTGCAGGCAGACATTGACCTGGTAACAAAGCGGTCAGTCAAAGGTTAAAGAACTCACTTCTGACAGGTCGCTTCTTAGCTATATATTCAATATTTATATTATATTTTTTTATTTTGGATGATATATTTTATATGCATATAATGTAGTAGAGTAGAAATGACCTATTAATCATATACTTCTGATATTATAAGTGTATTATAATTTCATGATATCTATATTACATCTATATTTCGATTTTTATATCCACATTTGACCCAGTCCATACATTCATTCCAATTAGATAACAATTAATTAGCATTCTCTGTTGCTACCGCGAGTACATGAACATCATCACTCTCGCTATGCCATCAATCATAACAAAAGAACTCGCCCCACGTTCCAATCTTAACCAGATCAATCGCCAACTCTAGCACAAGCTACTCATGTGGTTTTCGTATTTCGCCATTTTAGCCCATTAATAGATATTACTTAGTCAGAATTTCATTCGCATGCGTGGATCATTCGTGCCTCACAGAGGCAGAGCGTGATAAAAAAACGTGCGAGTATTACATAAAAGTACTACATGAGTGAAGCTGAGGCCACATGGACAATACTAAAAAACATGTTACCTGCTCGTCTTTTCTGTGATAATCCTTATCTTTGCCGTCGTTGACAGCCAGTTGGTTCATCAGGATTTCGTCGTTGCCTCCACCAGGGGGCGGCGACTTGACATATGGCAGACCTCGCCGCCGGAAAAACTCCCGCTCACGCTTCGTCTCTTCTGTGTGACCAAAACGTGTGAGTGAGGCTTGTAAGAATTTTTACGATAACGTATCGATAAAATAGATGGGCCGCACAATGCAGTCGGATAATATATACATATCTGATGACAATTATCAATCTTAATATGACAAATCACGTAGGAAACCAATCAAGTTATTAGTAAATTACATAGTCAACATACCATCACAACTTCATCATATTGTGGCACTGTAAAGTACCGACCGACGTGTACGAGTGACATACGAAAACCAGTCGTACAATATCACCATCAATCTTCATGCACTCCCCAGCATAAATAACATTAATTCAATATGATAGCAACATCTCAAAAAGGTTATCGACTAGACTTAAATTACTTGTATGGAGTAACTCACTCTCTTGAAGATTTGGTACCATCTTGTAAACGATATCTTGCATTGTTCTGTCGAATCTAAAATCAACCACGAAAGACATGAGCAAAATGCACTCTTCTAGTTCACCGCAAGTCAATAAGAGCATGACCTACAATTCTATAGGTCGACTACAAATACCAACACTATCAATGAATTCCAGACAATTGTTAAACAAGTGCCGCAGAGCGACAGCGCTCATCTAACGTCTACTGCGGTGACTCTGTGGTGGAGTGGTGGGATTCTAGTAAACCCTGTTAGTCCCAAATGTGTTCACATACACGCCGAAACAGTGGAATGCACAGGGATGGTATCAGGAACTGTTGTGGCGATGCACGAAAGTGAACA